ACGGGTGTGGAAATCTGACCGTGCTGTACCTGCCACGCAAAATGGACCTGTTAATCCGATCCGCTGTAGACCGCAAGCGTCATGTTGGAACAGAGTAAGAAGCGTAAACTTTAGGGTTCTTGAAGTATGCCTGGGTCTTGCTGGAGTCGATTGGAGTCACAAGGCACCCATTTTAACACTTTGGCATATTCCCCAAACTGCTTTGGCAAGGCGATGACCCCACGCACGGGAATTGTGGAAGAGCTTCACTGGAAAGCTGGTCTGAGGTGTTGAATGCCTGGAAAGGACTTTAGACCCACCAGCATCTTCCACTGTTTGTCGTTGCTTGGGAATTCCTGCACTATCCTACACTGCCAGGAATCTCATGATGTTTCTCTTGGAAGCCCACAAGTGACCTGTAGCCTGCCGGAAGCTACTGTCACAGGGGTAAGCTCGATCTTTGCTCTGCCCTTAAGAGAGGTAAAACCTTCCATCAGGATGAGAGAACCCCAACAACCTGGGCGCTGACCATGGATCTGGGGCAACTGAGATCTTTCGAGGGTCTGATGGGTGGTGGATGGTGGTGGGATTCCATGATATAATCCACCAATCCATCCTTCGGTTTTCGCGTGACCGTTGGACTGAGGAGCGAAGACGGTAAAGAGCCACTTCGCCTGGGCAACTCACAGATCCGATTCAGAACGCGGATTCTGGGAGCCTTCCTTCTCTGGGAGAAGAAGACCCTGGGAGAAGGGCGAAAGAAGCCTTTATTTGTTGATAGTTGTTGCCTTTTAAACCATGGGCAACGCTTCACTTTGCTTCCTCTGCGGAAACCTTGGTTCATCCTGAGAACTCTATCGAGTCGTATGTGCCGTGGTCAAACTAAGCTACTCAGTGGACCAGTTCGGGACATGTCAACGCCAGTCCTTGAAGTCATAATGGTTTCAAACAAAAAAGAAGGTGCATCTTCGTCTGTGAGCAACATGGTCTGTCGCATTGGCCAAGTTGGCACCACATTCCAGAAGTTTCAGGCCCTTAGATCAATAGCCGAATAGCAGAACTGTCTGTGGCACCAACATGCACCAGAACCGACGGACGCATCAACCTCTACGTTGACCATATATGGCTTGGTTTTTCGAAATACCCAAGCCAACAGCTGAACCCTCCAGTGTAATCTTCGTTGACACCTACAACTAAAACCACCAAACCAACCAATCCGTGATCTGGATGGAGCAATTGGAATCGGAATGCTTAAACTACATGGTCACATTCAAGCACAATAATCTTCTGTGACATCAAATATGGATGCTCGGAGATGTGTACTCCCCCACAATCCAGCAAGCATGCATGTAGTACGTTCCATTCATCCTTTCTGACACCTCTCCTCCAACTGGGACTTCAATGAACAATTCGCCTGTTGAAATCCTGGAGGTCACGACAAACAAATTTCTCCCAAGAGGTCACTTTCTGAAGCTCTTTGTTGGAGGTTCCAGGTTGCGGCACTGGCCTCTCAACCTATTCAAGGCATGTTGTTCCTATCATCTTTTGGAACTTAATGTCATGTTTATAATATGGTTTATCAAATGTTTATCATCTTGACCTAAAAAAAGAAACACACATCGTGCAAACCTTTCGCGGTAGTTCCACTCGGATTGCGCTTTGCACGGCCCTCGTGCCTTGTCCATCCGGCTGCTGGCCGTGGCCATGAGGAGCATCGTCACGGTCAAGTCGAACATGACCTGTTTGGAGCGTGGAGCCAGGCGCATGTGGTGTGAACGATCAGGAATTCTAAACCCTGGAAGAGACCCAGGTTTTGAACCTGAAAAAATAAACACTGGGTCGTAGAGGAAAAATGGTTTGCCAACGATATGTTGTGAGGTTCCATGATGATCTTTCCAGGTGCATCTTCCCAGGGGCATGGCCTTTCTACTGGTGACCTGGTGGATCTTTGGAACACCTGGTGGACAATCCCTGGACCCCAACTGGCCCCAGCTGGCCAGCTTCTGGAACGTGATTCTGGAACGTTTCACGGCTTGGGAGGCCGACCTCTGCGCCCGTGTGGGCGCGCAGAGGTCCACGCCGCTTTCCGCTCCGCTCGACGGTCGTTCTCGACGGCTCTTCGGAGCCCCCGGCCACTTCGCCGCGGCGGGCGCGATCCACGCGCTCGAAGATGTTGCCCAGGAAATCCATCTCGTAGGCCTACTCGAAGACTCGTCTTTTCTGGGGGTTCGGAAGGGTTCATGGGAACAGGTGGGGGGGGGCCACCTCAAGTTGCTGGTGTTCATGTGTTCCGTTGAGTATCGTACCGTGGCCACACCGGGACACAACAAAAGGGAAGTCAAACAAGGTGTTTCGATGTGTTTAGCTGAATATATAGTCTACTTTCTGTTTGGTCTCTCTCTCTCTCTCTTCTGATTCCATCACCCATCTCGTGCTTGGAGCATGGACTCCATTGAATCTAAGGACTCTGGTGCAGTATATCACATTGTCAGTGGAAGAGCTTGTATCTGGACACCCTATCTGTTAATGAAGACGCCAGCACCAGTGTTCCAGAAGTAATGTGGCAACAGCCTTGGATGAATGGTTGTCATGCTTCTGTTGCAACAGAAGCAGGTGAGAGTGAAAACTTCTTGTCTTTTGACATATACTCAGGTGTCAGATGGTGTCAGTATGCATAAAAGCCACTGTTAGTAAAAGAAGAGCTTGTAATGTAGCCTGTTGATAGACAAACAAACCCCCGGATATGGAGATGTGTTCTACAATCCGATCTAGTGAGGAGGTTTGATGACCAGGGCTCAGCCTTGAGGCAGGGTCTGGCCTCCTCACACGCCTTGTGCGTCTCAGTTGTCCAACCGTCCTAGCCCCCCGTGCGGTCGACCGTGACGGCCAGGCACCGCTCCGGAGTCGACCTGTTTGTCCGACCGTCCCAGGGGCGGAAAGAGGGCGGTCGGACCAGCTGGATCATTTTCTTGAGAAGTTTCACTGGGAATCGGTTCACCTGTAGTAACAAGAAGCGTTTAAGATCTTTTTATGTCTTTGAAGCTTCTTAGTAACAATGTTAGCCTTCTTAGTAACTCCTTCTCGTGCGCATCGATCATCCAAGCGAATTGTCTTGAAAAAATGCTGGAAAACGGTACGCTATTGCGCCCATTGGAGCCCAACTGTTAACGACCCAACGGCATTGTGAACATCACCCAGATGTTTCATTTTATTTGTTAAGAACAACGAAAACAAACGAAAACGCTTGTAAGTCAACCCAACACACTGGGTGGGGCACACTGGCCGTCCCAAACCACAGACACGCGTTTTCACGTGCAAGAATCAGTCGCCTGGAAGGATTCAATCTGGTCTGCAAGCTTCAAGAACGTTTCGCAGCCTGGGAATGGAGCCAAAAAG